TTCCTCGGCTAAAACAAGCCTCACAGCCCATAGACAGGCCTCAGGATTTTAATCCTTCCAGAATGACAACTAATGGTTACTTACTCAGCTGGATAAATGTCTGACATCTCTCCTGGTAAGATGTACATGGGGGATTCTCCCACATTACTGAGAAGTATGGATGGGCACTTGTCAGGTCACATAGTGGGAAGCAACAGGGTCCCACTAAGCCAGAGAAACCACACCAATAGCGCAGCCAAAATGCAGCCTTCTCTCTAAAACAGGCCTTCACAGGCTGGAAGAGTGGTCACTCCCAGTCACTCCCCAAAACTTCTCAAGTATTTTGCTTTACAAATATGGGCTTCTGGGGTGCCTGGGTGGCTCAGTCGTTAAGCATCTGCCTTTGGCTCAGGTCATGATCCCGGGGTCCTGAGATTGAGCCCTGCATCGGGCTCCCTGCTTGGTGAGAAGCCCACTTCTCCCTCTCCCACTCTCCCTGCTTGTGTTCCCTCTCTTGCTGTGTCTCTCTGTCAAATAAACAAATAAAATCTTAAAAAAATATATGAGCTTCTGGTGAGAAAAGACAAACCACTTCAGTCTACGTTTGTTATAACCTTTTTGGTGTGAAGATCTGTTCAGGAAAATCAGAAATCTATGCAGGCTGTATTTATTTTTCACTCAAATTAATTAACTCATTTATTGAATACCATGAGGAAAAAATACGTACTCTGAAAACACAAATTATATACTGGATTGATTATAAAACCACCAATGAGAATAATCCGCATTGCTTTTCAACTACTAAAATGTTAACTGTCTGAGCATATTTGAGAAGTAAAAATACCAAAACAGGTTTCTAAACTCTCATCCTAAAATTAGATCTAGGTGAGTGGCATGTGGCCTACAGCTCGTAGGTCACTGATTTAAAGAAAAAGAAAAAAAAAAAAAAGATTCTTCCTCAAGACAAAGTGTATATGGCTGATGGATTCAGAAACAGCATGAAATTTTATCTATTTTACTTTCTATTTGCTTGTAGGTTCTTAGAGTTCTAATCAAATTTCAGGTTTTGGAATACTTATCTAAAAAATACTTACCTAATTCATTTTCTAATTTCTGGTTTATTTATGCATATGATGCTTGCATTCTATACCCCATCTGTAGAATCTTCAAGTTTTTTTTCTTCTACATTTATTCTATTTACCTACAGCAGAGTTTCCCCAAAATAACAGATGAAGTGTCAGTCCCGCAAAATATTCTGAGAAAAAGAAATTTGAAGTCAACTAAGTTTGGGAAATTGTATATATGATATTCAAGTCACATGAACATTAAATACTCTGAGAAATCCTGAAATAATAAAACCCATTTAGCCTTCTTTAATTCAGTATTTACTAGACTTATCTGAACTTGAAACAAGAATAATTTTTTAGAAATGAATTCCACATCCTATAGAACTAGTGTCCTGCAGAAAATGCTTTGAGAAATGCTGATCTAAAGTCACCTTAATCATGATCCTGTCATGATCAAGTCCAGAATCAGGCTCCCTGCTTGGCAGGGGGTCTGCTTCTCCCTCTCCTTCTGCTCCTCTGCCCTGCTTGTGCTCTCTCTCTTTCTCACTCGCTCTCTCTCTAACAAATAAATTACAATAAATAAAATAAGTAAGTAAGTAAGTAAGTAAGTCACCTTAAAAACAAAACAAAACCTCCTCAGAGGAGAAGGGATTCTCAAATGATATAGGGGGCTGCTGGAGAGAGTGAGGGATGACCCTTATAGTAACCAAAAGCTGAGCAAGACTGGGAGAAAAGACTAATGCTCACGGCAATCAGGATTGCTGCAGTCAACCTAGACATTTTAAGTCCAGAAGAATCCATTCAGGTTGAAGCAACTGAGCAATCTCAAGAGAGCCAGAATAACAATGACAGCTACTATTATTGCCGTTTGTACTTTTATTTCTGCTTCAATTCAGTAATTGCTTAGAATGGGAAAGGTACCACACCAACATTATCTCTAACCTCATAAAATGCCAATATGAGAAAGAAGGAAACCCTTGTTACTGCATTATTCCAGCTCAGTCTGTAAAATTTCTTCACTGAAGCAATTGTTCTCCCCCTGGCCCTTTTTTAGATTTTATTTATTTATTTGACAGAGAGAGAGCACAAGCAGAGAGAGAGGGAGAAGCAGGCTCCCTGCTCAGCAGGGAGCCTAATGGAGGGCTCCATCCCAGGACCCTGGGATCATGACCTGAGCTGAAGGCATATGCTTAACTGACTGAGCCACCTAGGCACCCCTTCAATTGCTCTCCCTTTGTTCTCTAAGCCATTCATTACCCTCTCTGGAGCCTTTCCTAATGCAACTAATTCTAGTATAAAACAAGTTAAAGCCTTTGGGCACCTGGGTGGCTCAGTGGGTTAAGCCTCTGCCTTCAGCTCACGTCATAATCTCAGGGTCCTTGGATCGAGTCCCACATCGGGCTCCTTGCTCAGCAGGGAGCCTGCTTCCCCACCTCTCTCTCTCTGCCTGTTTGTGATTTCTGTCTGTCAAATAAATAAATAAAATCTTAAAAAAAAAAAAAGTTAAACTCCACTGATGACTTTGGTCTACTTAACCATACCCCGTCTGGTTTCCACCATTAATCAAATAGTTGTACATGCTAGAGGCGTCTGGGTGGCTCAGTCAGTTGAGTGCCCGACTCTTGATTTTGGCCCAGGTCATGATCTCGGGGTCATGATTTCAGGGTCATGAGATTGAGCCCCAAGTCCAGCTGTGTGGTCAGTGCAGAACGTGCTTGAGATTTTCTTTTTCTCCCTCTTTCTCTGCCTCTCCCCTTGCTTGATCACGAAATAAACAAACAAACTAGCTAAATAAATAAACAAAATCTTTTAAAAAATAATAATTGTACATGCTACATCTGATCAGACCTATGATCACCTAGGCATGGCAGGGTATTTTGAAATTATTTCCCAAAGCTCTTTTAAAATTATGCAAGAAAATACATCTTTACTCTCAAAGGCAAATTCAAATGCCTAAAAGAGACCAAGGAAGTAACATAAATGAGGGCAGCTGGTCAGGAATAATCAATAGTTGGTGACAGACTGTGCTGATCTAGAGAGAATGTTCCATCCAAAGGGCGTGACCATTAACTTTGGCAGATTGTTGTCAAGGAAAAATGTGAGCCCGGTATTGCTTGATCTTATTTTTTTCAAATGAAGCCAGAAATACAGTTTTTTCATGAGATTTCCCAATTTTTAATATGCTTACAATTAACTAATTTCTTATAAACATTAGCAGGGCCAAAACAACATTAATTTCAAGCTGTTCACTCATGTTCTCATCAGTCAACTTCTACTAAACACTGCATTGCCTCTACCATCTTCCATCTACCCCACTGATCACTCCCTCCAACCAGTAGACCAGGGGCACTTTCGACGGACTCACAAAACCAAAAGATTTTCCAGTACTGAAGTCATATTTAAAACCTCAGAGTCAGAAGTTGATTATAAAAAGGAGGCCCCCAGTTATTTTGAAAGATGGTAGCAAGGTTAAAATGCCCCTTGAAAGCTCAGGCAATTATCATGAGCCTTTTCTATGATGCATTATATGCCAGACTGACTCTAAGTATGAGGAGACCACTAGCCCTGCCCTAGTAACCAAATATTTTTTCTTCCTCCTCTCCAAACTGATTTGCCAGATTACTTTTGGAGATGAGATTCAGGCTCAGCTAGGGCACAGGGTGGGGTAGTCCTCTGTGACATTCTCATGTCACCAGGAGTGCTTGTTAGAGAGGTGGCTAATGCCACCTGATACATGTATTATTCAAAGCTAGGGTTCAAGGTGTGGCCTATGGTCTTTTAAGATCAACATCATCACTAAGTCCCCAGAGATCAACATTATCTCAGAGAAGAGCCAAAGAGAAGAAGATGGGAAGAGGTAGTCTCCATGAGAATGGAGGCTTCCTCTGCCTCATTGTCCACGTGCTGCTTCAAGGTAAGAAGGGACCAGAGCAAAATCAAAGCGAACATATAGCTTCTGAGAAACAGACAAACCAGGCTAATTTTTGTTATTCCTAGATAGTCAACACCTGAATGTTCATTTTGGTAAACATGAAAACTCAGAACACTGGCAGCTTTGTACCTTTTTGTAAGATCTTTCTCTCCCTATGCTTCTCTTGGCCTCTTCTCTTTCCCCATGTCTTTCTCTTTCCAGGTATATAACCTAACTGCATGTTTCTGGGTGTCAACTAATGTTAAAAAGAAGACAATTTTTTTACAGCTCTCTTGAAGTAAATTAAATGGAACAGAGAAAAGGCTAAAGAGAAGAAGATGATGAGAAGATCTGTCATGAAAAAGGGAAACATTTTCAGCGAAATTTTTTTCAGTGTAGATTGTTTTTCTCATTCATTGTCGAAAATGAACAATGAGGGTTAGTATAATATCAAAGATCGAACTGAATAGACTCTACCAGAAGTCGTTACCACACAATTCTCTATTCTGCATCACAAGGTATGACTAGAAAAGGGCTAGGTATAAGACGGGTATCAAAGAACTCTTTTTAAGATAGTCTCAGTAGTGAGAATCACTCTGGTTTAGAAGAGAACAATCACAGCACATAGTAGAGACACAGTAAATTCTTATTAACTTGAAAAACTGAGATCCTTCCTTAAGGTTCCACATACCTCACACTCCCTACCTGATTGCCTTCGTCATTAATTGATTATCATCTATGTTGTATTAATAGAGCAAGGAGAACTGTGATTGCAAAAATTATCACTGATGTCACCCAGGTGTATCAAGGACAGAAATGAGTAATGTAAGGACACTGAGTGAAGGTGAAAAGGTTTGTGGTGAGATTCAGGACACTGTAAAGTGGTGGTTAAGGCTGAGTTTGCCTACATGTTTGGACAAGTTTTGCATGGGGACACAAACAATGGAATTGAGGATAGAGCCCTGACTCAGCTCACCTCATGAACTTTCACCATTTGCCTACCAGCCCAGGCCACACTTGTGGCCCAGGTAGGAGGAGCTTACATGCTTCTCCCATGTCCCCTGTTTTCTCTTTGTGCAGAAACACCTGCCAGTCCCTCAGTCCTGGCACTCTTCTCACAAGGTCTCTGCTCTCTGCAGGAAGAGGAGACACTTTCACCATCAACTGTTCAGGCTTTGACCGGTACGGGGTGGATCCTGCTGCCTTCCAAGCAGTGTTTGACAGAAAGGCCTTCCGTCCAGTCGTCAACTACAGCATCCCCACTCATGTCAACATCTCCTTCACTATGTCTGCCATTGTGGAAGTGGTAAGTCCTGACTCAACACTGCAATGGGCTGAGCAGTGGTAAGCAGTGGGTTCCCTGCTTGAAATTTATAAAATGAAAATTTCATTCTTTGGTGTGGGAAGGCATGACAGGGATGCTTCGGTGACATCATGGCAGGTAAAATCTGTCCCTTTTTTGACTACTCCATAAGAATCATAACCCCAATGGACTTTCATACTTTTTATTTTCACTTAAATTTTCCTTATACCCTGGATTATTTGACTTTCATTTTTCAGTGATTTATGATTAAAAGTCATAATTGCCACATAGAACAGCCTTGGAAATGAGTAGGAGGCAGGTGGTGGCATTGGACTTGACTTTATGGAGGCAATGATCCCAGATGAAAATTTTTTTTTCAGGACGCACAGCTTCAACTGATGACATCTTTCCTGTGGCTAAACGTGGTATGATAGACTGTTTCCCCTTTACTGTTTCCCCTTTACCTCCCTTTTTCCACCCCTGGGCACAGATTACAATGGATAAAGCTGAGAAAACTCACAAGTTAGATAAGTTCAAACAGAACCAGGCTAACAAATGAAAACACAAAACTTCCTGATTATCCTGCCAGTTTTGGAGTGCAGAGATGGGGCACAGAAAGAAAGTAGCATAAAGGTCATGGAAGACAATATTTAAGTGGCTGCATTCCACAGACTCCAAAGCTAAGCTCAAGGTCTCCCTTGAGAGCATTGAGGGAGAAGTAGAAGAAAGACATTGTTAATGACATAGTGATAGCTGTCACCAGGGAGGGGGTAAGAGAGTGAGGAAATGAGAGAAAAAAGAAATGAAAAGTGCAGGAGACAGAGTGTGACTAAAAGTAGTTCCCACCCCATTTGTCCCACACCATGGTTTCCTATAGATCTGGTACAATCCATTCATCAGGTGGAACCCAGAGGAATGTGGAGGCATCAGGAAGATCAGCATAGCAGCTGAGTATCTTTGGCTTCCAGATATCTTCATCAAGGAGTTGTGAGTATCAGTGTTGAAAAAAAGCAAGAAGGAAACCCTCTTTCCAAGGAAAGGAATGATATAACCAATAGGGGGCACACAAAGACTCAGTTTAGAAAAAGCAATGTCTGAACTGAACTTCCAAAACCCCCCAGAACATAGCTATAGGTAGAAAGGGGAATTCAAATGAGTGGGTTTGGAGCACAGGAATGACATGACCTGAGAAAGAAGGCCACGACTGACAGGGAACCCACACTGTCCACCTTCCCATCCTTCTCCCATACAGCATGGATGTGGATCAGACAGCTACAGGTCTCATGGCTTATGTCAACAGTGAAGGTTTCATCAAATATGAAAAGCCGATGAAGGTGGTCAGCATCTGTAACCTGGACATCTTCTATTTCCCCTTTGATGAACAGAACTGCACGCTCACCTTCAGCTCATTCATCTATACAGGTGAGTAAGGCTCTTTGTAGTAGCCTACTGAGAGGCAGAGAGCGGGTTTTTTTTTTTTAAAGACCTTTTTAAAAAAAAAGAGATTTTATTTATTTATTTGATAGAGAGAGAGAGAGAGAGAGCACAAGCAGGGTGAGGGGCAGAGGGAGAAGCAGATGGCCTGCTGAGCAGGGAGCCTGATGCAGGGCTGGATCCCAGGACCCTGAGATCATGACCTGAGCTGAAGGCAGGCGCTTTAACCAACTAGGTCACCAACACGCCCCCAGAGAAAGGATTTTGAGAAAGAAGAACAGTGAGGGGATCTCACTGAAAGGGGTGTGGGAGTTGAGTGGTAAGGATTTCAATAGTCTGGGAAAGGGGATTGGGAGCATTTGGGAGGCTGAGTTGTCTGGGTCTCCTTTGCAGTGGAGAATGTGGTCCTGGGCATGGAGAAGAAAGTGCAGGAGATTTCGAACACATCACAGAACCTCATTCGGAGCAAGGGGGAGTGGGTACTTTTGGGTATCCACCAGAGAATGATGAAGATGACTGTGGGCACCAACCAGTATGACCAAATCATTTTCTATGTGAGCTCAGGGACCATGGTTGTGATCTTCTCTAAGATTCATAGCTTATGTCCCCTACCAGAACGTAAGCCCTCCCACTAGAAAGTAAGAAGGTTGGAGACTTTTTATCTTTTTTTTTCACTGATAAACCCCCACCACCTAGAACAGTACCTGGAACGCAGTAAATATTGATTGAATAAATCCTCCTAGGGCGGCAGGGGGAGAAGCTCCCATGGGAGTGACTCCTAGTGAAAGTGAGCTTCCCAACTCCCATGACTATCAGAACTCTTTAGAAGGCAAAAATTTTCATGTTTATATATATTTTTTAATCTTTGACATTTAATTTTTTTTATTTTTTTATTTCTTTTCAGTGTTCCAGAATTCATTGTTTATGCACCACACCCAGTGCTCCATGCAATACCTGCCCTCCATAATACCCACCACCAGGCTCACCCAACCTCCCACCCCTTGCCCCTCCAAAACCCTCAGATTGTTTTTCAGAGTCCACAGTCTCTCATGGTTCATCTCCCCCTCCAATTTCCCCCAACACCCTTCTCCTCTCCATCTCCCCATGTCCTCTGTGTTATTCCTTATGCTCTACAAGGAAGTGAAACCATATGATAATTGACTCTCTCTGCTTAACTTATCTCACTCAGTATAATTTTATGTTTATTTTTAAAAAGAGATGGTGGAAAAGTTATGAAACACTATCTGTGGGATATTATGCTTCCAAATCCTAGTAACCCCAAAATTATCTGCCACTATCTTACTTTCCTTTCCACTGGTCTTGAATGGCCACAAGCAAAGTCACTAGAGATTAGACCTTGATGAGGAAAGAAGCAGAAATACAAGGAAAAAATACACACAATACCTAAGAATTTGGTTGCACAGTCCTGCCAAGAGCCCTACATTGGTAGGGCTAAAAATGGAAGTGGAGAAAGTTGACACCTTGGGTCAGCAAGGAATGAGATACATTTCAGTGGTAAGCAGCATGGCAGAGTCAAATCTTGGAAAGGCAGACTGTGGTGATTAAGATGAATTTGTTGGAAAGAGGGACTTGAGATAAATTTCCTTCCTAGACAGTTTGGTCTGGGACATATCTCAACTCTTGCTCGTAACTGGGTCAGCAGCCTCCCAGCCTATTCCTCACTTGCTGCCCTCTCTCCTTCCCCCAGGTGGCCATCAGGCGCAGGCCCAGACTCTACGTCATAAACCTCCTGGTGCCCAGCGGCTTTCTGGTTGTTATCGACGCCCTCAGCTTCTATCTGCCGGCAGAAAGCGAGACTCGTGCCCCATTCAAGATGACACTTCTGCTGGGCTACAACGTCTTCCTGCTCATGATGAATGACTTACTCCCAGCGACTGGCACCCCCCTCATCAGTATGGCCCCTCCCTTACTCCCAGCCAGTGGCACCCCCCTCATCAGTATGGCCCCTCCCTCCATCAGGAGACTAAAAGCAAGGTGGGGGGGGGGGTGGGCTGGGGACATGGACCAGTGGAACCAGGTCAGAGTGAAAAGAGATCCTGGAAAGGACCCTTTGGGAAAGGAGGAAACACAAAGTCCTGGGACATACCTCCGGCCCTCATGCATCCCCATCTTCCCTCCAGGTGTGTACTTTGCCCTGTGTCTGTCCCTGATGGTGGTCAGCCTCCTGGAGACCATCTTCATCACCTACCTGCTGCATCTGGCCACCACCCAGCCCCCACCCATGCCTCGGTGGCTCCACTCTCTGCTTCTCTACTGGGCCAGCCCAAGGACATGCTGCCCCACTGTGCCCCAGAAGGGAAATAAGGGCCTGGGCCCCACCACCACCCACCTGCCTGGTAAGGGGAGTCAGCACTGCCCCCACTTCCTCTTCCCACACCTCCACTCCCTGCTTTGCCTCCCTCCCTGGCCCCCTCCCTCCCCAGGTGCACTTCATGGCCCATGGCTGAGTCTCTGTTTCTCTGTAGGCGTGAAGGAGCCCGTGGAGTTGGTGGGGAAGGTGGCAGGTCCCAGAGAGGCAGAGTTAACTGGGAGCCCTGAGTCAAGGGCCCAGGAGGAACAAGAGGCTCAGAGGCAGCCCTTGGTCGACCTGTGGATGCAGTTCAGCCACATGATGGACACCCTGCTCTTCCGCCTCTACCTGCTCTTCATGGCCACCTCCGTGGTCACGGTCATCATCCTCTGGAACACCTAAGCAAATGCCTAGCTGCAAACTCCATTCTGGAGCTTCTCTTGCCTCTAGAAACCAGCCAAACTCCCCTGTGTTTCCAAATCCCTGCCTCACAGCCCTGGCAAACACCTTGTTTTCAACTCAGTCCTTCTGTGCAGTTTCAGACCAGACCTGGATGATGGCCTATGCCTCCCACAGTTGGTCCTTGCTCCTACACACCATCAGCTCCTTTCACTCCTCCTGTATGTGCTGCCTGCCTGGCTCCTCAGGATCCAAGTTCCTGGAATACTTTCTTGATTGACTCACTCCCAATAAAACCCTTTGCAGAAAGCATTGGCTCTTCCCAGAGTTATATTACAATACCAAAAATCTTGGATTGAGAGTCTTCTTGGAGAAGCTTCTGAGTCCCACAGTAAAAAGGGTATTTTAAGTCTATTAGACAACTTGTGAAAGCAGGGAGAGAGGACTGAAGCGTTCAAAACTTATTACAAGGAATTATACTAAAACAGGGGTTAATCTCCTGAATCTAGTTATCCTGGAATTAAGCTATAGAAATTAATAATGTGCCAGGATCAGGCATCTCTTACTTCAAGAGTGAAGCATTTTGTCACAGCTTGACATATGACTCATTCATCCTTAAGCACTTAGATGTTAACATATCCCAAATTACCATTAACTGTGTTGCAATCAAAGTGGATGGGCCCTTAATCATGCAAAGGAAAGAACACGAGGCCAAGGAAAGCACATTTGAAAATGGCATCTGCTTTACTTGGGAATAACACAAATGCCCCCGTATGAACTGGAAAATTCCCCTTCTAGCACTTGCCTTTTGATGCTGCAAGTGTTCATCTTTTGGCCCATCTCTCCCACTAGCTGTCTGGGAAATATACAGACTTCAAGGCGTTGCTGTCCATGGGAGCTGTGACATGATTGGCTGGACACCCCAGGTTCAGAAAAGCATAAAGATGAGAGCAAATTAATTAGAATTCACACAAAATCTTTTCTTTCTAGCAACCATTTCTTTTCCCTTCTTTCCTTTATGCTACCGCCTTCTATCTTAAGCGCAAGAGATTAACGGTAGTGTTTACTAAACATTTCCTGGGTTCCTCCTCTCTGCTGCTCTTCCTCAAACTTCTTTGGCTCCCTCCATAGGGAGCTACAGATGCTCAAAGGGTGACAAGGCTATCACTGTTCTTGAGCATGGTTGCTGGTGGTGGTGGTGGCCCAAGATCCCACCCCAGTGTCTGCTGCCAGAGCATCTGGCCAGCAGAGCCCAAGCTAGTCGGGGCAGATGTCCCCAGCTGGAGGTTTCTTCACATTTTTTCCAACACATAGCTATTACTTGTTCTTTCCTTGCAGTCCCCTACCACTGGGACTTGGGAAAGAGTCCATGGGAAGCTGGGAGTATCGATGCAGAAACACCCCCACTAAACTCTAAATTGCTTCTTGCACTCAGGCCCATGGCTTCCAACTCAACTTGTGTTCCTTAGGTCTCCTTTTCTCTGATCTGCATTTTTTTTTCACCCAGGAATGTGTTTGGTTTCTCAGTCTCTAAGGCCCTGTCAAGGTCCCCCGCACCATCACTAGCATTCCAGGCATGTCCAAAGACTAGTGTATACACAATCTGGGCTCAAATCAGGAGCCCCTGATGTTCACCTAAATAAATCAGCATATCTGTTATAATTTCTGCAATTCCTCAACACACAGCTTTCTAGAAAGTGGGTCTTTAGAAAGGATATGGTAAAGTAATAACAGTAACCAACATTCATTAAGTTGGCAGGCAGTCTCCTAAGGGTCTTAGATAAATAACCACATTTAATCCTACAGGAAATTTATGAAGTAGGAACTATAGATCCACAAACGCTTGCAGCCAAATATGTTTCAGAATTCGGAATTTTTCAGATTTTAAAAAGGAAATAATTATGCATGTACTGTATGGGGTATGGGGCAATGCCCTGTAATCAAACACATGAACGTTTCTGCAGTGAAATCTATGAGTACTCACAGTAGGGAGCAGAAAGGAAATTAGGGATAGTCTCATATCAGTTCAGGTCAGGTTTTGCCACTGAATAACTCATGAAAAATCATTTGGTTTTCAAAGCTCTTTAGGTTTTAGTGCTATGGTTTTGTATTATGGCCCCCATTTTATAAACTCGGATACAGGAGATGAAATAAATGAAGAAAATGAAACACAGAGGTGAAGTGACAGCCACTGAGCTGTCTCCCAGCTACCCCAGCTAGGAAGTGACCGAGCTGGGGTTAGATACTGGACTCTGAGCCTCCGCCTCCCCACCCTCCAAAGTAGGACGAGACCTGCACAGGGTATGGGGCACCTGGATGGCTCAGAGGCTTAAGCCTCTGCCTTCAGCTCAGCTCATGGTCTCAGGGTCCTGGGATCTTCTACTCTTATGCCCTATCCCAAGATGGTCATCTCACCTGGAAACTCACTCTTGATTTTGCTAAGAAGCTCATTGACCCCGCTTTATGGGGGGAGGGGTTTCTGAAATTATTTAAGATCACTTTGTAGCATTTTCATTTTCCCACCCATCTTCATGGTACATATTTTCCTGCTTATTTTCTTCACATTTTTTTCCGACACATAGCTTTTTGTTTTATTTGAACAGGAGATATGCAATTTGTTTTTTTGACACATGAATTAAGAAACTAGATCCCCTCTCAGTAAGAGAAAGCATAATATAATTACAGTGATTTTATCTTCTCCACAAGCAAAATCTGAGCACACGATCTTAACACACAAGGGATAATCACGTGGAGCCTTGAAACCATAACTCTCCCAGAAAATTTACAGATATGGTTGTTGCATTTCTGTTCCATCTATAACAGAATCCTCCGAGAAGCACACTTGGGTGCTAATGATTCTCCTCTTGTTACAGGGCAAGCCTCTGAAAGGCTTTGCAAGGTAATCTGGAAAAATTTAGGAAAATCTTTAGAAAAATCTGCTGACAGGCCACTGGTCCCACCTGGGCTAGCTTGCATTTGATGGCTTGCCTCTGCAGGATAGCCCTTCACCTTGTCCATTCATCTGAATTACCACCTGTGGCTCTGGCACACACTTGTGTTCACTTCCTTTCTCTAAACCATTATAGGCAGTATTTCTCCATGTTTCCCACATTTTCTTTCAGCTCCATATTAACCTGACATTCACTTGTATTATCTCATCCTCCTCCCTTGTTCTCCTCCTCCTTCAGGTCCACTCTAGGATGTGAAGTCACAGACTTCATTTCAAGCCCATCCTTTCCCTCCTCCAATTTCTTTTTTTTTTTTTTTTAAGATTTTATTTATTCGTTTGTCAGAAAGAGTAAGAGAGAGAGAGAGCACAAGCAGGGGGAGTTGCAGGCAGAGGGAGAAGCAGGTTCCCTGCTGAACAGGGAGCCCGATGAGGGCCTCGATCCCAGGACTCTGGGATCATGACCTAAGCTGAAGGCAGACACTTAACAGACTGGGCCACTCAGGAGTCCATCCCTCCTCCAGGTTCTGCCCCTCCCTTCGATAACCTCTCCTACTTGATCATTCATTAGCACTGGTTCTCCTAAATGTCGGGGACAGGGGTTGGGGGTGAATAGTATAATAGGGAGATGTTGGAATCTGGCAACCTTGGGTTCTAATCTGACCACATTATTTGTTGGGTAAAAACTTGTACAAGAGGACTCACCCCACAAGTTTAAATTTCATTTGTGAAGTGGAGCTAATGATGTAGATTAAATTATTTTTAAAATATGCATTAAAAAATCATTTATGAGCTTACAGAAACTAGAAAGCCAAATGTGATGCACAAGAGAGCATCCATTTATCATGCAGACTGAGACTTAGTGTGCAAAATTGACTTCTAGGTGGGAGGCTACAGACTTTCTAGTTCAGCCCCCTCATTTTTTAGGCAAGAAAAATGAAGTGATATGTGTGGGGTTGTCATACTTCAAGAAAGCCTGGGGTCAGAGCCTGGGCCTGTCAAAATGGCAGCTCAGATGAGTACTTGTCCATGGGACTTTTTTCCAGGTGTGTTTCAGAGTCCCAAGAGTTTCCTTCTCTCCTGTTCCAGACACCATAGCTCCCTTGACCCCAGCTAGTGACCCACAGCAGTTTGGATGTTCCAGCTGCCTTTCTGCTCCTGGATCCTTACCCTTGGCCAATGGCCTCTGTGGGTGACTGCCATCTATCAGAGCTGCAAATGGCTCTCGTTTCCCCCTTCCATCATCTCATTCTGCCCTTGCCAGGTTATAGCTATCTTTTCAAACCTGATTCACCAAGGTCCCAGATAAGTGGGATCATGCATTGTGAACCCACTTAGAATGAGCTAAGGAGAAAGTTACTGGTGTCTGTGACTTGCAAAACTACAGCTCCCCCACTGTTTACCTTTGAATCCAAGCATTGTCTAGGCCTAGGAATTTCACTGGTGGGAAACTAGGGGCCTATAATCCAGTCCAAAAGACTTCCCAGCTATGGGGTAATAAAAAGAGCAAGGAAAGAACAATGGAATCAGACTTGGGTTTGAATCTGCATTCTACCTACTTCTACCTGGATTGACACTGAGCACGATATTTTTGGCTTCTTTACCTCCATTTTCTTCATCTGGGAAATGGGAGTAATACCACTGACCACTCCAAGCATTTGGGAGGATAAGAATACCGTAAGTAACGTGCCTACCACATCAGGGCACACGGCACAAACTCAATTAATGGCAGCTCTGGTTAGGCCTTTATTGGAAATTTAGATGGGAGGCAGTCAGAAATAAAAGGCTGGACCCTGGCTCTAGGCCTCTGTATCTCACCTGCTGTACATCTGCCAACCCCCATCTCTACCAAGCGGCACCCAAGATGGAGCCCCACACCTTAGCCACACCATGGGAATAGCAAGCAACTTCTCTGATGTGGCCTCAGGACTCCCATGAGGTTCCCTACCACGTTTCCTACATCTGCCCAAAGTGCCCGTGTGTCTCCCCGCATCCATAGTGACCTGATGGAACCAATATTTAACTACCATTTATTGACTGCTAATTACTATATGCCACCCACTAGGGTGGGGGCACAATGGGTAGGAGAACAAGACATGCCTCCTGCTTCTCAGGAGGTTACAGAGCAAGAGAGGAGAGGCCTTACTCCTGCCTCCATCATATGCATTTCCTGGCAGCCAGATCTACTTTTGAGTCTAGCCTACAGACTTGGGTCCAGTTTTTAGGCCAGCCTTGATAAAGGCAGATACACATCAACAGTCTTCAGCTGCCTTTCATCAGGGCTTGAATTTAACCCTCCTTTCCTAGACCTAAGGTCGGGTAGCCAGCCTATCTGTGGAACTCAAGTGTCCTTGGGAGTCCTTCACTCTTACCTGATCCAGGAGCCCAGTACCCCCCAGGTGTATCCCTGTGGATATAGACACAGTAGTACTTTGGTGCTACGTGGCATGATGGCCCAGTCCTCTGGCCAAGTTTCCAAAACAGGGAAGAAATGCCTTACAGAGCGGGTGGGGCTGAGGCACTGCAGAAAATATGTCTCTCTTGTGCTTTCCTACTTCAGCCCCTCAGTCATTCCTGCCTTCCTCAGCTCTTTCTGTTCAGGGCTGTCATAATCTTCCATTCTTTTTTTTTTTAAGATTTTTATTTATTTATTTGACATGTCACAAGTAGGCAGAGAGGCAGGCAGAGAGAGAGAGGGGAAGCAGGCTCCCCACTGAGCCGAGAGCCCAGTGTGGGACTCGATCCTAGGACCCTGAGATCATGACCTGAGCCGAAGGCAGAGGCTTGACCCACTAAGCCACCCAGGCGTCCCATAATCTTCCATTCTGAACAAAGTTTCTTTTGTATCCTAGGTCTGATCTTTCCCCCTTTCTGCAAGAAAAAAATTTCCAAGCATCTTTCTGGAAATGTAACTAAGATATTTAACAGAACAATGCGCCAACTCGCTCATTTGGTCCAATTGTGTTTTCTGTAGAGATGGCACCTAAGATATAATGTTGATACCATTGCCATTAAGATTGACATTATCTGAGTTTACTAGTTTATGATAATGCATCACACAACTGATAACACAAAGACATTAAAAACAGTTCTGCTACCTTAATTTTGTGACTTATATTATCATGTAATAAATGCATAAGGTAAAAAATGTATAGAAAATTTGGTTTAGGGAAAATGAATTGGAAAGGCAGAGGGATTAAAAGGAGGAAATCTTATTAGGGGCTGTTGGAAAAATATAGACAATAGATGATGAAGGCAGGAATTACGCTTTAAAATTTGGTATTTGCAGGGCGCCTGGGTGGCTCAGTGGGTTAAGCCTCTGCCTTCGGCTCAGGTCATGATCTCAGGGTCCTGGGATCGAGCCCCGCATCGGGCTCTCTGCTCAGCGGGGAGCCTGCTTCCTCCTCTCTCTCTGCCTGCCTCTCTGCCTACTTGTGATCAGTCTGTCAAATAAATAAATAAATAAATAAATAATCCTTTTTAAAAAATTTGGTATTTGCAATTATCCCTAATGAACACATAACCAAATCACTAAATATTGTCACCTTTCCAAATCTGCAGATTCCCTGGTCTTAAAAGAACTTAATTCTTACTTCCCCAGGCCTCACCCTCTCATTAAGGCAAGTTATTTTATTACTGATCTCAGCAAACTGCTGCCAAACAGGCGCTTCTCCCTTATTCTTGGCCCAACTTCCACCCCTGCCTGGCGCCTGGAAGGCATACCAGCACAGGGACAAAGCAGGACACTCTGATGTGATCTCTCTGGCCACAGCCTCTCACCAGGGAGTGGTCACCTGTCATGAGCACTATTCAAAACCAGGAATCAAGGTGTGGTCTGAGCTCCTTTAAGATCAAGAGTTTGGGGGCTCCTGATGAATACCCAGAGAAGAGGCCAGAAGAGGAGGATGGAAGGGGGGTGGCCTTTGGAGGGGGGAGTCCTCCTCTGCCTCATTGTCAGCCTTCTGCTTCCAGGTAAGATGGGGCAAGAACAGGGAAAACCAGAATGTGGTTCTCAAGGACATCTAGGAACTTCCCTGCAGCACTTGGAGGACATTCAGAATTCACATATTGTTTTTTCCCTAATATCTTTGTCTTGATGTGTGTGTGTGTGTGTGTGTGTGTGTGTGTGTGTGTGTGTGTGACGGAAAGACATTCTGTTGGTCAGGACACATAGTCTTCTCTATTCCTGTCCATACAGGAATCTGCTAAACTGTCCCACTTCACCACCTCGCCAATTTTTCCTTCACTTCCAGTGTCCCTCCCAGAACACCCTCATCTCATTCTCCCTATCCTCTTCCCTTGGTATGGTATCTGTGAGAAGAGTAGCCACATATTTTAAACACGCCATGAAAGAGTAAGTATAGAACACTGAGGGAGGGTAGGAATCAATTTGAGGTAGGAGTAGATGCTTTGCTTCCATGAGGGAATATTTGTTCCTAGTCTGGGTGTATGCCTTGAATATTATGGAAAAAGATAGAGTTGTAGAGGAGCAAGCAGAGCAAAAGATCACCCAGTGCTGGAAATGGGGAAAGATTCTGCCCAGGTACTACCAAGATGACCCCTGATCATAGCCAAGAGACAACATAACATATGCACAGGTCTCAGTCTATATGATTGGCATCTGGTATAACCTCAGTGATATCACCTAATTATCCCAATGCTGGAAATAAGCCCCAAGATATCTGAAGTCACTAAATCTGAGAAGGGCAAAATAAATGCATAGCACCGAGGTACACACCAATTTGGAGTGCCTAATACATGTTACCCATATCCACCTAGAAAGTAAAATTGTTTACTTCCCTTGTTTTCTTGATAAGTCAGTTCTTGTCTTCAGTAAATGGAAGTCCCTGAGAATGAGGAAGAGAAATCCACCATAGCAGATTTCTAAGTGACCTGGATGACAAGTTTTAAGGCAGTGCTGAGAGGTGCTCCTACGTAGACCCAAGAAGCCTGTGATGGGTGCACTTGAGGACTTGTTGAAGCGGGTGCCATTGTACCAAGGCCAAGTTTGCATACAGATTTGGGCAGGTTTTGCATGATGGTGAAACAATAGGAATGAGTATAGAGCTCTGGTCAAGGTCACCACATCTACTTCCACCATTTGCCTACCAGGTCAGCCTGTCCTCTCCGGCCTGGCAGGAAGGGCTTTGGCCTTGGTGAATCTTGGCCCAGGAAGGAGGGCTCACCACCCTCCCAGTATGTCACCTGTTTTCTCTCTGCAGAGAAGCTTCAGCCCTGGCCATAGAGGCCCTCTCTCACAGGTTATCTGCTCACTACAGGAAGAGGCGAAGCTTTCACCATCAACTGCTCTGGCTTTGACCAGTACGGGGTGGATCCTGCTGCCTTCCAAGCAGTGTTTGACAGAAAGGCCTTCCGTCCAGTCATCAACAACAGCATCCCCACTCATGTCAACATCTCCTTCACCCTGTCTGCTATCCTGGAAGTGGTGAGACCTGGTCCCCACTTTCCATTTTTCTAATAGGGAATAAGGATCTTCTGTCCTGTCAACACAACATTGTTCTGATCCAGTGGTGAACAACAGATCCTCTAAATGGATTCTGCACAAATTAGAGGATTTTCCTATGGGATGGGGAGACATAAAGAAGAATGCTGTAGTGGTACTTTTTCAGGAAGGATTCCTTCTTGAGTCTGTCCTTTCTGGAATGTTCCAGGAAGAAGTGTCTATGTCAGTTAAAACCTGAATTGTCCCTAGATACAAGGGAAGACAAGCAAGGAAGACAGTTGAGCACCTAGAAATATGTCTGACCCAATAAATTAGTAAACATTGGTAGGAATACGAGGTAGGCATGGGCAGAGTATTTTTGTACTAATAATCCTGGATGGGAATTTCTTTACCAGAATGCACAGCTTCAGCTTCTGACATCATTCCTGTGGATGAATTTGGTAAGGTAGATGCAACTATCCCCTTCTCACTTCCATTTGTAGTATAAATTTGAGGAGCAATGTAGGGGTTTCCTAGTCCCAACCTCTACTAAATCTATAACCTTTCGTGGACCAGATCACTCCATCTAGAACTGGACTGGCCTTGGGCACATGCACTTCCCTGGGGGGAGCTTACAAAGGTGGAAATGATGATCTAAGACAATGGCCAAATGGTTTGAAGGCCAATATATTGGTGTGCTCCTGGGACCAAAGGGTTTTAGGATATACTTATGCTCTGCCTGGAAAAAAAACAAGGCCATTACAGGGTACTTTACCAATAATACATGGCTAAGTAAAGAAGGGAGACAGGCTGTGGTCGTTAGGGACATGAGTGCGGGAAGAAGAAGAAAGGGAAGGGCAGAGGAGCTGACTGAATAAGCTCCACATTGCTCATCTCTGTTTCCCACTGCCCTGGCTACAGATGTGGGACAATCCTTTAATCAGTTGGAACCCAGAAGAGTGCATCAGCCTCAAAAGACTCACTGTCTCGGCTGAAAACCTGTGGATCCCAGACATCTTCATCTTGGAATCGTGCGTATGGGGGCTGGGGAAAGTGAGCATGAAGCCCGTCTGCAAAGAGCAGCCTCGGGTCAGTGCAAGGCACAGGTACATCAGAAGACTCAGACAGGGGCACAGCCTCACTTAAGTGACCACCACAGAACACCATGAGGCGTACAAGGGACAAGATAGAGCGACAGTAGAGAAAGAGTCCAAAAGGGGAGCACAGAGAGGAAGACATGGGAAGGGAGGGAAACAAAAGCCAATGAAGGCCCCACAGCACCCACTCCCTCCCTCTCACGAGCAGCATGGATGTGGATCGAGCACCACCAGGTCTCACTGCCTTTGTCAACAGTGAAGGTCGAATGAAGTACGACAGGCCAGTGCGGGTGACCAGCATCTGTAACCTGGACATCTTCTACTTTCCTTTCGACCAACAGAACTGCACGCTCACCTTCAGTTCCTTCCTCTACACAGGTGGGCAAGACATATTTTGCTAGTTATTCAAGATGCAGGGAAGATATTTAAGTGATACAGGTACATGGTCAGGAAAGTTTTAGATCAGTGTTTCTCAACCCTGGCTGCCCACTCGAGCTTTTTTAAAAATATGAATAATAACCATGCCTCACCCCAGAGATTCCAATGTAATTCTTCCAGGTGGGGCCCACATGCTGATATTTTTACATGTTCTCAGGTGGTGCTAATGTGCAGGCAGGGTTAAGAATTACTGCTTTAACTCCTCAAAAAAGTTTATTAAAAAAAAAAAAAAAAAGAACTAGAGAGGGATGCCTGGCTCAGTTGGTTGAGAGTCTGACTTTGGCTCAGGTCATGATCTCAGGGTGCTGGGATCAAGACCCACATCAGGCTCTGCGCTCAGCGAGGAGTCTCTTTCCTTCCTCTCCCTCTGCTCTTCCCCCTCACCCTCCCTCATGTCCTCACTCTCTCTAAGAAATAAATAAAATTTCTTAAAAAGAAAGAGAGAGAGAACTACAGGGGCACCCAGCTGGCTCAGTCAGAAGTGCATGCAACTCTTGATCTCCAAGTTGTGAGTTCGAGCCCCATGGTGGGTGTAGTGATTACTAAAATAAATAAATAAATAAATAAATAAACTTAAAAAAAAAAAAGAAGAACTACTACTTGAGATCTTGGATGGCCCTTGTGCCAAATGAGGCCCATCTGACCCTGAGCTGCTGTAAAGCTCCTGCTCTACATTTTTTAGCTGAAGACTTTTAGTTTTGATATCTAACACGCTTAAACCAGTAAACACTGAATGCCACCAGGTTTCATGTGGTAGATTTAGATATATTAGTCATTCTTTTTTTAAAGATTTTTATTTATTTACTTGACAGGGAGAGAGAGATCACAAGTAGGCAGAGAAGCAGGCGGGGGCGGGGGGCGGGAAGCAGGTCCCCTGGTGAGCAGAGAGCTCAATTCGGGGCTCGATCCCAGGACTCTGGGATCATGACTTGGGCTGAAAGCAGAGACTTAACCCACTGAGCCACTCAGGTGCCCCTATATTAATCATTCTAATGGGCATGCATGTAATTATAAAAAGGTTGAGCTGTTCAAGTTTGATTCCACTAAAACAACATCATACAACTAGGGGATAGAGAAGGAAAATGGGAATGATTGCAAAAGTTCTTGACTCACATTTGAGTCATATCCAATATTCCCATAACAACTTTAACTCAGTCTTATTTCCAACTGAAAAAAAAAAAAAATCAAGCTGCCTCCTGTATACACATGAATTATTGTCCTATATCCCACTTTTGAGAAAACCTGGATGACTTATCTTAAACAGAGAGGAAATTTTGCTCAAGAACCTCAGTGGGAGAGGAATTTAATTTGGGGGGCAGGAAACTGGGGAATACTTCTGGACTGAGCTGCCCCCGGCTTCCCTTACAGTGGACAGCATGCTTCTGGGCATGGACAAGGAGGTGTGGGAGATAACAGATACATCTCGTAACCTCATCCAGACCCAGGGAGAGTGGGAGCTCCTGGGCATCAACAAGGCCACCCCAAAGATGTTGGTCGGCAGCAACCTATATGACCAGATCACGTTCTATGTAAGTTCAAGGGTCCCCTGTTTGACCTCTGATCCCAGTTCCTCCGTGATTTTCTTCTTGATCTAAGGCACTTTGGGTTGTAAAAAGAATTTCCAGGGGGTTAAGCACCTGCTCCCCACTCCACCCTCTATCCTAACTACCCTGAGGAAAGATCACCACAGCCTCCCCCTTCCTCACCTCTCTTTCTCCCGTCCTCCACCCTGCAGAGAGGAGGTGCAGCTGGGCACTTAAAAGCTCTACTGTTAAGAATGGAGCAGCCACCTCTATGATGGTCCAAAGGGCCCTATCTGCTCCTGAAAGTCTACAGTTATTGTGTTCCCAGCAGGTTGGACATATTTACCACTGAAAATTAGACAACAAAGTAGGGCACTTCTATAGGGCACAATTAGATGCGTGTGTTACCTAAAGCCATCATCCCACAGCCAGCCTAACAGCACATCAGCAAGGATTACAGTCAAATATACAAGAGCCCTCTGGGCACCTGGGTGGCTCAGTGGGTTAAGCCTCTGCCTTCAGCTCAGGTCATGACCCCAGGGTCCTGGGATCAAGCCCCCCATTGGGCTCCCTGCTCAGTGGAGATCCTGCTTCTCCCCTCTCCCTCTGCTGCTCCCCCACTTGTCTGTGCTCTCTCTGTGTCAAATAAACAAAATCTTAAAAAAAAACATATATATATATGCTCTCTGACATCAGTACATTTGCCACATTCTCCACAATCTCTCCTCCCCCCAGGTGGCCATCAGGCGCAGGCCCAGACTCTACGTCATAAACCTCCTGGTGCCCAGCGGCTTTCTGGTTGTTATCGACGCCCTCAGCTTCTATCTGCCGGCAGAAAGCGAGACTCGTGCCCCATTCAAGATGACACTTCTGCTGGGCTACAACGTCTTCCTGCTCATGATGAATGACTTACTCCCAGCCAGTGGCACCCCCCTCATCAGTATGGTCCTTCCCACTTTCCAGGAAAGCAAAGGCAGCAAGGCATAGGGAGGGGAACCAGGAACCGGCTGCCTCTCCACTTAAGGAGGGAAGGGGTTGCAAGGAAAGACTGGATTTGGAGAAAGTCTTAAGAAAAGTGTAGAGATGAATCTGCCCTCATTTACTTATAATCTGTTTCTCCCTAAGGTGTGTACTTTGCCCTGTGTCTGTCCCTGATGGTGGTCAGCCTCCTGGAGACCATCTTCATCACCTACCTGCTGCATCTGGCCACCACCCAGCCCCCACCCATGCCTCGGTGGCTCCACTCTCTGCTTCTCTACTGGGCCAGCCCAAGGACATGCTGCCCCACTGTGCCCCAGAAGGGAAATAAGGGCCTGGGCCCCACCACCACCCACCTGCCTGGTAAGGGGAGTCAGCACTGCCCCCACTTCCTCTTCCCACACCTCCACTCCCTGCTTTGCCTCCCTCCCTGGCCCCCTCCCTCCCCAGGTGCACTTCATGGCCCATGGCTGAGTCTCTGTTTCTCTGTAGGCGTGAAGGAGCCCGTGGAGTTGGTGGGGAAGGTGGCAGGTCCCAGAGAGGCAGAGTTAACTGGGAGCCCTGAGTCAAGGGCCCAGGAGGAACAAGAGGCTCAGAGGCAGCCCTTGGTCGACCTGTGGATGCAGTTCAGCCACATGATGGACACCCTGCTCTTCCGCCTCTACCTGCTCTTCATGGCCACCTCCGTGGTCACGGTCATCATCCTCTGGAACACCTAGGCAGATATCCACATCCACTTCTCCCTGCAGTTTCTCTTGGTGTTAGAGCCAGACAGACCTGGGCCCCTTTTCTGATCTTCGCTACTTATCCCCAGGGACTACCATGTCCCCATTTATACTCCCCAAACTCCAACCCTATGGAGCAGGTTCAGCACTGCCCCAAACAAATTCCTGATTTTTCATATGCCATGGTTATCATTCCTACACACTTTCAGTATTCCTTAGCCACACCTAACTTCTGACTGTTATCAGTGGAGGTCAGGGTCAGCAGAGTCTCTCCTTGATTGATTGTCCCAAGAAACAACTTTTCAGAAGGCACTGGCTCCTCAGTACATGTAGGGTAGGCCTACAAACACTGGAGCGAGAGTCCTCTTGCAGACACTCTGATAGCTCACTCTCAACAACTGTAATCTAATGTGATTTGAAGTCTTTCAGACACATTTACAGATTAAAAAAAATGAAAAGGTCAAGTCTCATTTGTAAAAAAATCACTGTAAAATATTTATAATTGCAAAATGTTTCTTTCATCAACCACTTTCATTTCACTTGCCTTTAATTGTTCACTTGCCTGAAATTGTTCTTTGAAATAAATGATATATTGTATCTCCCCCCACCTCCAGAATTCACAAAATCAAACAGGGAGGGCCTTCTGAATATATGCTTGGGGGCACCTGTGTGGCTCAGTTGGTTAAGCATCTGACTCTTGACTTCCGCTCAGATCATGATCTCAGGGTCATGAGATTAAGCCCTGCTTGGGGCTCCACACTCAGCAGAGTCTGCTTGAGATTCTCTTTCTCCCTCTGTCTCTGCCCCTATCCCCCACCCCCACCTTGCGCTCGCTCACTCTCTTGCTCAAATAAATAAAATCTGATATACGTGCTTAGAGGAGGCCCAGGAAGGCTGGTTAAGGACCTCAATTAAAGGGCTCAAGTTAAACAAATCATCACATAGCCATACAATTAGATGATTTGTAGCCATTTAAAGTAAGACTATAGATCAAAGTTAACACCATGGATGGGCACCTGGGTGGCTCAGTGGGTTAAAGCCTATGCCTTCGGCTCAGGTCATGATTCTAGGGTCCTGGGATCGAGCCCCGCATCAGGCTCTCTGTTCAGCAGGGAGCCTGCTTCCTCCTCTCTCTCTCTGTCGCCCCTCTGCCTACTTGTGATCTTTGTCTGTCAAATAAATAAATAAAATCTTTAAAAAAAAAAAGTTAATACCATGGAAACAGGTCCATGACATATAAAGTGGAAAAAACAAGTTACAAAACAGTTTTTATATGTTAAGTTCTGTTTGAAAAAAAAAAAAAAAGAAAGAAAGTAAAGAAAAAGAGGGCTGGAGAGAAGTGCAGAGAAAAAAGTGCAGATGGCTAGAGACCAGAACATAAGCAAACTTTGTCCTGGATAATGGGATGAGAAATGATTACCCTTTTCTTTTATATCTTCATCTGTGTTTTCTTAGTTGTTTTCAATGAACATGTATTATTTTTACTATCAAAACCCCCCTAGTTTTTAAAGTGTTCCTAATCAATAATACTTTACACCTTCCTGGGCAGATATGATCTTGGGAAGGATTCTAACAGCTGGCCCTCAGGAATTGAAAAGGGAAGAAAAAGAATACCAAAGACAAATTTCTGAATTATACTTCAATTAGGTGAATACATTTCAGAGATTTATTTATATTTCTGTCTCCACTAGGAGAGTATGTCTTCATGTAGATCAGATACAATGTCTCATTCATTTTTATAACTCAGTAAATGGTAATAATCCTGATATACCATGGGTCCTTAATACAGACTCACTGAGTGATTAAATGTATGCATTAATGCCAGCCAACCAAGAATCCGTATTTTACTCTCCCTAGTTATAATCCCTTTAGCCCATCCTGGTATATTTTATTTTATTTTTCCATGTCTCATATGGAAAATTAGCAACCCATTTTTATAATTCAACTTTATCTTTGAGTTCTTAGAGATGTTAATTATACACCAACAGGCATTTTGGCTTGCACATTCTCATGTGTTTCTTTCCATTACTCAGAACATATTTCTCATGCAGAAACCTGTCCTTGACTTTTGCCAATAGCATACAATGAAGAGTGTTTACCACATCTTTGAGGAATTTCAAATTTCTTAACATCACTTTTGCATCATTTCTTTTCCCTTTCCCATCTCCACATTTATATTTCTCTAGATGTCATTTTGTAATTTTTTTCCACCTTATTGACAGGTGGCTTTGGATTTTCTGTGCCAAGACCATTATAACTAACAATATCCTTTACAAAAGAACATCCTGTTCATATGTTAGGGTTGAGGTGAGCCTTGTGGTCTGAAATATGACCTAAAAACAAAGCAAAACATTTTAAGGCAGTACTAGCTTAGACATGTCATCAGGAACAATAGGAGTATTTCACAGCTTTGGAGCAGGTGCTTCTGGTTCCTGCCATCCTTCTCCCATTTAAAAGATATATATAAATCATAGCCCTTGTGATAATAACTTTCTTTTCTTTTCCTCCAGTTTCTATTATAAACCTCTGTTAAGAATGTGCCTTGGAACTTTATGGACTGTAAAAACCAGACCACTGGGATGCCCGGGTGGCTTAGTCAGTTAAGCATCTGCCTTCAGCTCAGGTCATGATCCTCGGGTCCTGGGATTGAACCCTGCATTGGGCTCCCTGTTCAGCAGGGATTCTGCTTCTCTCTCCCTCTGCCCCTCTCCCCTACTTGTGTGCTCTCTTTCTCTCTCTCGAGTTAAAAAAAAAAAAAGAAGCAAAACCCAGCCCACTGGCCCTGGATATATTACTGTCCTCAAATGTTTGATCATGTTTCTAACTTCTTGAGTTGTTTCTACTAGCTTCCCACTCTCTTTTCATTAGCAGCATCCAGGAGTATCCTCACAACCTTTTCACATCTCAGTGTTTCTTTTCTTTTCTTTTTTTTTTTAAACTCAAGTATAGGGGACACACAATGTTACATTAGTTCTGCGTGTATAACACAGTGACTTGACAAATCTATATGCTATGCTATGCTCACCACTGTGACCATACAACACTATGAAGTACCATTGACTGTATTCCCTAGGCTGTGCCTTTCATCCCCATGACTTAGTCATTCCATACCTGGAAGCCTGAACCTCCCTCTCCCCTTTACCCATTTTGCCCAACCCTCCTCCCCTTTGGTGACCAGCAGTTTGTTCCCTGTATTTATGTGAATATCTTTTTGTTGTTTATTGGCTGTTTGTGTTTTCTTTTCTATAAACTGCCAATTCATTTATTCCATTCATTTTTCTGATAGGGTTTTTTGTCACTGTTATTCATTTATGGGCATGTTTTACATATTTTCTACTATTCTTTTGTCAGTTATGTGTTGCAAAGGTATTTTCCCAGTTTATGATTTGACTTTTCACATTTAGTGTCCTTTTTTTTAAAGATTTTATTTATTTATTTGAGAAAGAGAGAGTGAGAGAGAACATGATTGGAGTGAAGGACCAAGGGAGAAGCAGACTCCCCGCCGAGCAGGGAGTCCAAAGCAGGCGGGACTCAATTCCGGGACTCGTGGATCATGACTTGAGCCAAAGGCAGACACTTAACCAACTGAACCACCCAGGTGCCCCACATTCACTGTCCTTTAATGAAAATAAGTTAAAATTTTTTAAATGCTGAATTTATCAATCATTTCCTTTATGTTTGTGATTTTAGGGTCCTATTTTCAGAAGTCCTTCCTTACCCAAAGTTCTAAACCCTAAAAAACGCGGAGAAACTGGATCATTCATACATTGTGGGTGGGAATGTTAAACGGTACTGCCACTCTGGAAAAGAGTGCTGCAGTTTCTTTAAAAACTGTACATGCAAATACCATATAATCTAGCACTTCTGAGTATGATTTCCAGAAAACTTTTGTTCACACAAAAACCTGTAGACAGACATTTATAACAGCTTTATATGTAAGACAAAAACTATAAACAACTCTGTGAAAAAATGTATGTTTTTTGGGTCTTTGCTCCCAGTTCCTGACACAGAGTTCATAAATCCCTTGGAATTTCCTAGGTAATAAGAGCATCTTTTGTTCTAATGAGGTGACTCTTGGTAGGCTCCTGGATAACTTCAGGATGGGAACTGGTCACCAGAAAGACCAAGGCATGACGGGAAGCTTGAACTCTCTGCCCCAATCCCCATCCTCTAGGGAGGGGAGAGGGGCTGGAGATTGAGTTCATAATTGATCACGCCTACATAATGAGGCCTCCACAAAAAATCCTTAAACTATGTAGTCTGGAGACCTTCCAGGTTGGTGACATATCCACCTACATGCTGGAACTCCACAGAGACAGAAGAAGCTCCTGCCTTCGGAACCCTTCCAGATCTCACCCTGTGTACCTTTTCACCTGGCTGTTCATCTGTATACTTTATTATAAACTTTTCAGCCAGTAAACAGAAGTAAATGTTTCCATGAGTTCTGTGAGCTGTTATAGCAAAAATCTGAATCTGAGGAGGGTGTTGTGGGGATCTCCAATTTATTGTCAGTTGGTCAGAAGTACAGGAGGCCCTGACTTACAATTGGCCCCTGAAGTGGGGTTCAGTCTTGTGGGATCGAGCCCTTAACCCAAGGGGTATGCCAGAAGGGGTAGTTCAGAAGTACTTGGTATGAGGGAAAAACCCACAATTTGGTATCAGAAGTGTTGTGTGAGGACCTGGGTGGCTCAGTCGGTTACGCATCCGACCCCTGATTTCGGATCAGGTCATGATCTCAGGGTCCTGGGTTGGAGCCCTGTATCAGGCTCCATGCTCAGCGGGGAGTCAGCCTGAAAGTCCCTTCCCTCTCCCTTTGCCCCTCCCCCCTCAAATAAATAAATAAATCTTTTTTTTCCCAAGTGTTGTGAGGAAAGTAGAGGAAATAAGTGTTCTCCCTTAAAACTCAGAAGTCCCTCAACAAAATTTAAAAATTTTTAAAAACCTCAGAAATCCTTCAACAGGTAAGTGGTTGAACAAACTGGGGTACATTCCTA